AGTAAGTATTTTGATAGATCAAACTCTTCCGTGGACTTTGGGAGAGTTTGTAGTGGACGAAGATAGCAGATATCTCTTAGTTAAAGGTTCAATAAGGACAACAAAAGTGACATTAGTGAATGTATACTTCCCTAACTCTGACCATCTTTTATTTTTTAGGAGATTGCTTCCAATAATTCTGGAACATAGTGAGGGGGTATTGATAATGGGGGGAGACTTTAATTTTGCATATGACCCTCTTTTAGACGTGTCAAAGGGATCTTCCCACCTCTCCTATGCTTATCTAAAGAGGTTAAAGTCAGAACTCCAGCTCCTGAATCTAGTGGATACATGGTGCCTAGGCCATCCCAACGACCAAGACTATACTTTCTTCTCTCCCGTCCATCAGACCTACTCACGTCTAGACTACTTCTTTTTCCCAAACGGTGAATAAGCCAGGGTATGCAGTACTTCTATCGACCCAATGCTTCTTTCTGACCATGTCCCCATACATATGGAGCTAGATCTCATGTACACAAACTCTCCTCTTGGAGACTGAATGAGGCATTGCTGAAAGATCCTGCTACCATGGCAGAAGTATCCCAGGCGCTTACATCTTATTTTCAAATGAATGATGTTCCGGAGACAGGACCCTTGATCCTTTGGGAAGCCCACAAGTGCACAATACAAGGGCTCTTTATTAAACATGGAGCTAGACTAAAAAAAGAAAGGACATTGCAGACTGCTGCTCTGTTTGAATGCATTAATCAATTAGAGGCGGTTCACAAAAAATCCCTAGCATTGTCTACACAAAGGGAATTGCGGCAGTTGAGAGAACAACTGGATCAGCTAGAACGGGTGACCATACAAGACAAACTCCATAGATGCCAACAGTCATTTTATGAGTTTGGGAATACGCCTGGGACTCTTTTAGCGAAAATCAAAACCAATGGTAACCCAAATAACTATCCATAATGGGAACAAGCCTATGGATTCCTGCACGATCGCCAAGGTGTTTCAGTGATTTTATCAAAATCTTTATAATCTGCATGATCACTCTCCCCAGCTCATCAGACAGTGGCAAGAACTAATAGCCTTCTTCTTGGCAGCCTCTGGTATGCCATTTCTACCCCCGCAGATTTGTTGTCCACAGTGGAGTTGGATATAGCTATAGCCACTACCAAAATGAATACAGCACCTGGTCTCTCCTTATTTCCTAAGGGTGTACAACTCACTTTCCAATGGTCACAACCCTCCGCCAGACGTTGGGAGTGCATTTTACTGTTATCCCTAAAGCGGACAAGGACCACACTCAATGCTGCAACTACAGACCCATTGCCCTTCTCAACGTCAAGCTCAAATTATTTTCCAAGATCATAGCAAATAGGTTGCTCCCCTATATTTCCAAGCTCATTCATGCCGACCAGGTTTGCTTTGTCCCCCAGAGAGAGGCCAGAGATAACACAATGAAGGTTGTTGATCTGATCCACTCTGCTCGATTGGGTGACCAACCTTTCATGCTATTGTCCACGGATGCTAAGAAGGCCTTCGATTGAGTAGATTGGCAGTTTTTGCAAACCACCTTGGATCATGTGGGATTGGGTACTCCTATGTCCACATGGATTTCTGCACTATATTCCCACCCAACGGCCACAGTGAAAATGAATGAAACCCGTTCAGATTATTTCCTACTATCCAATGGAACTCAACAAGGATGCCCCCTCTCCCCTTTAATTTGTATCCTAACACTTGAGCCTTTCCTGTGTAAGATACAATCTAACCCTGTCATAACAGGGTTAGAACTCTCCCAAAATTAATACAAGATTGTGGCAGATGCTGATGACCTCTTGTTCAGCCTTACCAACCTAGAGACATCCCTACCGGAATTGCTTTCCCTGTTCACTACATATGGTGAAATTTCTAATTTTTCCATAAATTTTTCTAAATCTGTGGCCCTCAACATTATCCGGGTAAAGGACCATGTGGTGCAGCTGCAGCGCTCATACCAGTTTTGTTGGGCAACATACTCTATGTGCTACCTTGGCGTTAACATAATGTCTGACCCCTCAGCACTGTATGAAGCGAATTTCAGCTTTCTGTTATCTAAAATTAGGTCAGACATGCCCAGATGGAAGGGTCTCACCCTCACATTGTTTGGACATTGTAATGCCTACAAAATGACATTACCCTAGATTTTGTACCTCATACAGGCATTGCCCATACATATCCCTCAGACTTTTTTTTCACATCGCCATGGACTATGCAATTGGATTTTATCTGGCGGGGGAGGCAAAGTGGCTCGGCCGAAATTCTCTTTGCTAACTCTCCTTAAACTGAGCGGGGATATTGGTCTGCTGGATCTAGCACTATATTATAAAGCCTTGCATCTTTCCAGGGTGGTGACGTGATGCACATCTCCTAGATATAAGATGGTGGCCCAAATTGAGCAACAGTCAGTCAATGACTCAGCGGAACTGGATGTCCCTTCAGACACTTAGCACTTTGGTACAACCCCCTCTAGGTACCTGGTAGGCCTACTAGTTGTGCCACTTCTTACAGTCAATTCCAGACTCGAACAAATATGCCAGATCACTCACCCCCTTTGAACATCTATGTGTCACAAAGGAATATACTCCTTACCTTCTATCACTATTATATAAAATATTGAACATGCCGGAGGAGACATTTGTCCCCTCCTATGTGCACAAATAGGAAGCTGACCTACTGATGTCCTTTTCAGAAGAACAAGTGAACTGGATCATTCAATTAGCTCACAAATCCTCGATAGCTAATCATTTCCAAGAGTATGGATACAAACTTCTGTCCAGGTGGTATAGGGTCCCGGTGCTACTGAACAAATTTTACCCCTCAGTCTCCAGTTTGTCTTGGCGCTGTCAGAAGGAAGAGGTCACTTTACTGCATATCTTCTGGCAATGTCCTTTGCTGAATCAGTTCTGGAAGAGAGTGAGGAACTTAGTCTCACAGTTGACCTCCGTGGATTTGGGAACAGACCCATTGGCCTACCTCCTTTATCTAAACTTGGTACCACTACATCGCTATAACCTCTCCCTGACAGTTCATCTTCTGAATGTGGCATGGGCATGCATTCCAGATCTGTGGAAGCAAACCTCTCTCCCGACTAGGGGTCACTGGTTTGCGAAGTTGAATTAAATTAATTCAATGAAAAGCCTAACTACCTCCCTTAGCAATAAGGAAGATGTTTTTTGGGAGACGTGGCAACCTCGAACAATGTATACTTGCTCAGCGCAATATATGGATGTGGTGCCAACTTCCCCCAAGCAAGAAGTGAGTCCTCCTCAACATTACCTTCTGTAGGTTAGACTTTGAACCCTATGACTGGTCTTTGGGGGAGGAATAGAAGGAGTGGGGGGCCCTGTCCTACTCTGCCCCTCCACCCCCAAGATCTACCTCCAGTACTCTCGATGAGTTCCCAATTCATCCTCTCTGTCTTGTCTTTCCTTTCCCCTTTTAGCTTCTCCCCTTCATTCCCCCCAATTTTTTTTTTTCTCCCTTTCCCAAAGAGTTAAGAAGATAAAAAAAATTTCTACAAAATTTTTCCATCTTATTTCTCTGATCCCATAATGGACCCATTCTGTGTTTTAAAATATAACAGTTTAATTTAGATTTTGTGTATTGCAGGCTCATCACCCTACATTTCCAGTATGAGTGGCATTAGAATATTTTATTTAACAGACAACTTGTATCTAGCCTTCTGTTCCTGTTTACTGGAACACTGTGATTTGTTGTGCCATATAGCGCGCGTAAATGTTTCCAGTGATGTTTATTGTTTCCTTATTGTTTACTGTGTGATGGTACTCCCTTGTATATGCACAATGTCTAAATGAATAAAGAATTACAAAAAAAAAATGTTTCAGTGTATTGCTTAGGTACAATTAATATTTGTACAGGTTCCCTATAGGATAGCAGTTCAGATCCACTTTATTACGTAATAAAACTTTCCACACTTGGCTAAAACTTTAATGATAACTTTATAGCAAATTACTGTGGCATGTTATTTTTATCTGTAATAACTATGTTGATGAATTCAGGATATAAATTACAATTGATCCAGCGAGAATTACATCAGAGGTTTTAATCATCAAAAACAGTGTATGTAAATACATGTGATAAATATAACTCTAATTACCCTTCAGGCTTCTAAGCAGACTATAACTACCACAAGCCACCCAGTGAAACAATTCACTATACAAAAGCTTTCCATGCAATGTGAGATTCACAGAACACAAAGAATAAATTACCTGTTCTACAGCAAAGACACACCATAACGTTTGGCTTTTATTTCGTAGAAGAGCTTGGAAGATTAGAGAACAAATATTTTAAGCAAAATACATAACACCTATATATTCAGCAAAGTAAAGTTACTGGTCATTCAGTTTAAACCAGTATTGTTACTCAGTGCTATAATAAAATGAAGGAGGACAACTACTCAGGAACTACTGAAGTCTGGCTAACTGGAATGGACCATGTGCAAAGCACTAGAATTTTCCTCTTTATTTTTTTTCTTATGATATACATGATGATAGTAACAGGAAATCTTCTAATAATGTCAGTCATCGCATCTGAACAATGTCTTCATTCTCCAATGTATATTTTCCTGTGTAGTTTATCCTTATCAGAAGTTGTATTTACTACCAATCTTATTCCTAAGTTTTTACATGTTTTATGGGAGGATGGTGCTGCTATCACTCTCAGAAACTGTCTTGCACAATTTTATCTGTGTGGGTCATTGGGAGCAACAGAGTGCTTCCTCTTTGCATCCATGTCCTATGATCGGTACCAAGCTATTTGCAAACCACTCCATTATTGTTCTGTGATGAGTTTTGCATTTTGTGGCAAACTTGTTCTTTTATCATGGGTATGTGCCTTTGCTAGCATGTCAATTACATTAATTATGGTTAGTCAGTTACAATTTTGTGGACCTAAAATTATCGATCATTTTTTTTGTGATTTTGCTCCCATACTACAACTTTCTTGCTCAGACACCTATGCAGTTGAAATAGAGACCTTCATATTTACATCTTCAGTGACACTCTTTCCATTTTTATTTGTTATTGGAACTTACATTTGCATTATTATTACTATTCTGAAGATCCCATCATCCACAGGTAGATGGAAAACATTCTCCACATGCAGCTCCCACCTGGCTGCAGTGTGCACATATTATGGAACACTTATTAGTGTCTATGTGATACCCACACATAACTTTTCAAACACAGTTAGTAAGACTTTATCTCTTATTTACACAGTTGTCACTCCCATGTTCAACCCCATAATATATAGCTTGAGAAACAAAAATTTTAAAACAGGTGTGCAAAAATGTTTGAGAAAATGTTTGATAAGAAAAGAAAGGCATCTCTTGAGCCACTTCAAACCTTAAAGCAGTAGTAAAGTTGCATAAAAAAGTCCCACCTGTAGGCTTATGTCATAATGTGCTAGAATGTAACGCATACTAGCACATACTAACAAACATACCTACAAACAGATCCCTCCAGCAGGAAGCTGACAATGTTAACAAGGTTTGCATCTTCACCTGGTCTTCCTTCCAGACTTGCAAGCTGCAGCCGTTTGAATGGCTGAGCCACAATGACGTCAATACCACACATGCACACGGGAGCCATTATTGTGGCACAGCACTCTCAATGGACAGCATACTCAAGTGTGTTGTCCATTGAGAGTGCAGTACGCATACGCTGGTGATGTCACTGGTTGCTGCACATTGAATATTTCCTAAATGGTGCATGTTTAAGAGATATTCACTACAGATAAGCCTTATTATAGGCTAACCTGTAGGTACGAGATAAAGTTTACTACCGCTTTAACATTGTGCTACATTTCTTTCCTGCATGTGTGCTAACACATGTTGTATTAAGGCAGACTATTCTCTTCAAAAGGACTGCTAAGGCATCAGAACTTTTTATTAAATGGACATAACCTCTTTTTAAAATGTAGCGCACCACAATGCATGGCACGTGTGTTGTTGTGTGCTGTAGTGTCGGTGCCTTGCCAGCTATTTAACAATGCATTAGAGCAACAATCTAAATTAAAGTGGAACTTTACCCATTACAAGCTGACAAAAAATAATGTTCTTTAGCAAGGAACATACATTCCACATTAATAATTATGCAAATAAATTTAGTGTGTGCCTGCAGAATAGTTCCTGTTTCTTCTCCTGGATCCTGAATTCAACATCAATTGTTTTATCACAAATTATTAAATCAGACAGGATAGTATCAGTACATTTTTAGTCTAGGTTTATACATAATCACTGGACCATTTTTTCCCAAAATAGCGAGTATAGATTAATAGGAGTAATTTTAAAATTATTTAAAATTATTTTATTCATTCTATAACTATACAGCATCGTGGCATTTTATTGAATTATATATATATTTCTTATGATTTTTTAATTCAATCTCATTATTATCATTTTATATTTTGATATTAATTGAGTATTTATTTATTGTCGATAAAACCATATACAGAACGACATTAATTGCTTCATTGCATATCAGTATATCGCCATCCCGTGACCACGGTATGAGATATATATACAAGTTCTGATGGTTTCCCCAATACATTGCCTTATATCACCAATTTGTGGATGTGGTTAGTATCAGCAGTATGAGGTACCTAGGAAGTGGTGGTTGTCTAGGTGATTAGTAGCAACTTCCGCTCACTATAAAGTCGGCTGATGGTCACTCGACCCCATCCCTGAAGACGTCACATGATTTGTGGTGCAACACAATGGACGGTGCCTGGTGACCTCACTTCCATTCACAGCCGAGACCGGAAGGAGTTGATCCTAGTAGCTTGGAACAAATTGAAGCCTGTATTACTAGTATTGCTCTTTTAATATGTGAATGACATTCTTTTATTTAATAAATATTTGTGTGAAATACTACACAATTGATGGCCCTGTTTTCTATCTCTCCTGAGCATCTGCTGGTTTAGATTGGCATCCGGAAAGTATCCATGGGAGTGGCCCACATAAGGTGGAATGAGAGCTGCATATACCATCCAGAGTTCAATAGATAAAGTCTATTTGACCTGTATGAGAATATAGGTCAAAATTGGAGGTGAGCGTCCACTTTGCACAATGGTGGACCATGGTTTTGCTGTTATCACACAGGGCATTCCTTATCAAGAGTGAGGATATTAGCCCTATAGATTTTGTTCTATACATGGACTTTAGGTACTGAATTATGGACTATCAATGTGCAGCTATCACTATATTTTGTGCACTGCTAAGTATATATGTTTGCACGGGGTGGACATGTACACATAAAGAGGTGGTGGTCCCAACGGACAATATTGAGTGTGACACACACATCAGTGGGTTTATTTGTTTTACTTTTTCAGGATTTAAAATTTTTATGTATATGATTTAACCAGGGGCGGACTGACCATTTGGAAACTCGGGCACTGCCCGAGGGCTCGGGGTCAGTAGGGGGCCCCATGAGATGCCCCTGGTACCTTTTTCATAGGTTTTCTTGAGTTTGGGCAAGGACGCAGGGGCCCCATGATCGCCTATTGCCCGGGGGCCCTATGAGTTGTCAATCCGTCCCTGGATTTATCATTTGATTTTAGACGCTTGTTTAGGAGGATCATTAGTAGAGTGGAATTTATTATCCATTTAGTTTACACAGTGAGGGTTATTTACTAAAACTGCATGGTGCAAATTCTAGTGCAGTTCTGCACAGAAACCAATCAGCTTCCAGGTTTTATTGCTAGAACCTAATTGAACAAGCTGAAGTTAGAAGCTGATTGGTTACCATGCACAGCTGCACCAGATTCTGGGTGCACCAGTTAAAGTAAATCTCCCCCAGTGTGTTGTTTGTGATGGATTAGTTAACAAAAACATAATTTTTAGATTTGCAGCATTGATGTTTTGATAATAATGATGCAAATATTGACGAACAGTGAATTTGCACCACACTATTTATTGTGTTATTCCAGCTATTCTGTGGGGTGATACACAGTTAGGTGTCAGCAGCAACTTCCATTTATTAAGTAGGCAGGGTAGCACATGAGTTAATTTGATTAAACTTGATAATGGCTGTAGAGGGTTGTATACCTTCAGGATAAGGTTCTGTATGTAAAACATCTGCAAGAAAACAATCTGCCCCAGTTAGATATTTGAACAAGGGACATACAGTACTAACACAAACCAACATAAATTTGAGACATAGAAAGAGACAGAGAGAAAGACTCACTCCTAGATTGTAAGCTCGAAAGAGCAGGGCCCTCGAACCACTCGTGTATTGTATTGTTACTGTCTTGTCTCATGTTATGTCCCCCTTGCTACTGTACAGCGCTGAGCATACCCTTTGGCGCTATATAAATACTGTATAATAATAATAACTTATGCCCCTGTATAGCTAGGAAGGAAAAAGTAATTGTGATGGTATCATGGGCTTTCTATAGAACAGGTATTAAAAGTATATGCGTTATTTGTATGAATAAAATAAACATACAAACATTTTCTAAGAATTTTATTTAAGAAAAATATTTTTTTGAAAATGGCAAAGAAAGTAAATGAATAGAAGCCAATCCAAATCAAATCAATATTTGGTGTAAGTACTCTTTGCCTTAAAAAACATCAGTTCTCCTAGGTGCACGTGCCCTCCAGAGGATTTACCCCCCTTCCTGACCAGGCCATTTTTTGTGCTACGGTGTTGTTTTTTTTACTGACAATTGCGTGGTCATGCAACGCTGCACCCAAATGAAATTTATGTCCTTTTTTTTAACACGAATAGAGCTTTATTTTGGTGGAATTTGATCACCTATGCATTTTTTATTTTTTTTCGCTATAAAAAAAAAAAAAGACTGACAGTTTTGATGAAAAAACAATATTTTTCACTTTTTGCTATTAAACAAAAATTTTAAAAATCAACTTTCGTCATAAATTTAGGCCAAAATGTATTCTGCTACATGTCTTTGATAAAAAAAAATCCCAATACATGTAAAATTGATTGGTTTACGTGAAAGTTATAGCATTTACAAATAGCAGTATATATACTGGAATTTTTTTTTTCAATTTTTAGTAGTAATTGTGGTGATCAGCGACTTATAGCGGGACTGTGGGACTGCAGTGGGCATTTTGACACTGGGGGGAACTGACTTGGTGTCACTGACATCCCCAGTGATACCAAAAAAGTGATCAGCGCTTATAAAAGCACTGACACTGTACTAATGGCACTGGTAAGGAAGGGGATAACATCTGGGGAGATCAAAGGGTTAACTGTGTGCAGTGTGCTGTTTTACAGTGGGCTGTGTTAGTGCTTTCAACTGTAAGCACAGTGCTTTGCATGGCTCTGCTAAGAAGAGCCATGCAGAGCAGTGTGCAGGAGCTGACAAGGCAGAGAACTGTATTGTTTGCATACAGTTCTCTGCTTCCGACAGTAATGCGATCACAGGGTGCCGTAATCACCAGCCAGAAGTCGGTGATTGACAGCCGAGGCCACGAATAACGGCACGGGTAGGGTGTGCACACAGCTTGTGAGCACCCCCTACCCAGAAATGCAAAATCATATATATATATATATATATATATATATATATATATATATGATTTTGCGCATCCCTGCTGCCCTGTAGCAATATATCTGTTATAGGGTGGCGGGAAAGTGGTTAAGGAAGGTAGTTTTTGAAGGAGCAGGTAGATTGTTCCAAACATCTTGGAAATTTAACCATGGATCATCTGTGGATGTAAGCTGCCTCAATTTTTTCTGTCTTTTCATGTAATCCCAGACAGCCTCGATGATGTTGAAAACAGGGCTCTGTGGGGGCCAAGCCATCACTTCCAGGACTTCTTGTTCTGTACACTTAACATAGTTTTTAATGACATGGCTGTAATGACACGGATGTTTGGGGTAGTTTCCTTGTTGTAGAACAAATCTGGGGTCAAACACACATCTCCGTGGTGGTATGGCATGATGGATAAGAATCTGCCTATTTTTCAGCATTGAGGAGACCATTGATCCTGACTAAATCTCCAACTCAATTTGCAGCCCCAAACTTGCAAGGAACCTCCACCATGTTTCACTGTTGCCTGCAGATACTCATTATTGTACCACTCTCCAGCCCTTTGCAAACAAATTGCCTCTTGGTACAGCCAGATATTTCATTGGTCCGGAGCACCTGCTACCATTTTTTTCTTCACCCCAGTTCCTATGTTTTTGTGCATAGTTGAGTTGCTTAGCCTCATTTCCATGTTAGAGGTTTGGCTTTTAGCCACAATTCTTCCATGAAAACCACTTCTGGCCATACTTCTCTAGATGGTAGATGGGTGTATCTGGGTCTCACTGGTTTCCGCTAGTTCTGTGCGGATGGCATTGCTGGACATCTTTCAATGTCAAAGGGAAGTAAGCATGGTGT